GCTGCTCTGCTCGGGCAGCGGCGCCTGCCGGGCAGGGCCGGCTCCGGGGGCCCCATGGCCCGGGCCCACTCGCTGTCGGCCGAGGAGGGCAGCTCCACCGACAGCAGCCCCAACTCCGTCCGGCGGTCCTCGGAGAGCCTCTTCGACGCCTCTTCCCGGGCCTACAGCCTCTCCCCTCTGCCCATCTTCCCCCTCGACCTGCCCTGCGGGGTTGGCAGCGGCGCCTGCCGGGCAGGGCCGGCTCCGGGGGCCCCATGGCCCGGGCCCACTCGCTGTCGGCCGAGGAGGGCAGCTCCACCGACAGCAGCCCCAACTCCGTCCGGCGGTCCTCGGAGAGCCTCTTCGACGCCTCTTCCCGGGCCTACAGCCTCTCCCCTCTGCCCATCTTCCCCCTCGACCTGCCCTGCGGGGTTGGCCGGGAGAGGCTGGGCCACGAGAGCACCGTGCCCATGGACAAAGGGGGGCTGCTCCGGCTCTCCTCGGAGTACTGCCCGGAGAACAGGCGGCTCCGCATCCGCCTCATCAGCGTGGAGGGCCTCTACGGGGGCGCCTCCTCCTCCTCCTCGGAGCCCAAGAACATCAACTGCTGCATCACCTTCTCCCTCCTGCCGGGGAAGCTCCAGAAGCAGCGCAGTACAGTCATCAAGCGCAGCCGGAACCCCATCTTTAACGAGGACTTTTTCTTCCTCGGCATCTCCGAGGACGACCTTTACAGCCTCTCCGTCCGGATGAAGGCAGTGAACAAAGGGTGCAGCATGAAGCGGGACCTCGTCTTGGGGGAAAGCCACGTGGACCTGATGACCCTTCTCGCGTCCTAGAAGGCGCTAGGTGTACGGCCCGGAGGGTGCTGTTTATTTATTGATGGATCTTTGTCTTTTGTGGTTGCACCTAACAGTGTGTGTATGTGTGTGTATGCACAATGTGCAGAAATAATGTGTATGTTATTATTTTTTAATAAACTGCATTTTTATTTAAACATGCAAATATCTCTCTTGCGGTATCTACTAGGAAAAGAAAGTACGGTGGTTTCCTTTGACAGAGTTCTGTAGCTTATGCACAGACATTTATTTATTCATGATATTAAAAAAACAAACAAACCAAAACCTGCCAGTAAGAAGTAAGCCCAGTTGAATTATGGTGGGCTTACTTGTCTCCTTGAAATGGTACAGGCTTTTCAATATTTGCATTATTGCCCTTTTGAAGATCGGAAGGGTTTCACATTATTCACCCATTAAGATGGGGCCAGTTTAGCTCTCCATGCATAGCGAGTGGACAAGATGAGCCTGGCTATCAGGCCAGGATGTGGAGACCCAGGTTTGAATCCATGGAGGAAGGCTGGGCTAAAAATGTTAAAACCCAGATTTAACCATGGAGGAATTAAGTCTGTCTGAGCACAGTGGGACCTGATTTCTTTATAGATGTGGGCAGGATGGAAAGATGCTGGCTTACAACAGCCTTCCTGGGGAGTTCTTAACAAAAGTGAAACTCAAACCGATGACTTCTTGGTTAGAGCTTCAAGCTTCTTCGCCACCACCTCGAACTTCGTATATTCATGCATACAAAGCTGTCAGGCTGCAGAATAACAGAGAGTGGGGGAAAGGCAGGTCTCTGTACCAAACTGAGGGTGATCTAACTTTGATCAGTCAGGGAGACCAGGAAGGGAGAAGGAAAATATTAAGGCACCAAGCTTTCTCTGTTAGCAGCTTTTTCAGTTTCAGAAAATGGGGGTGGGGTGGGGGGAAGGAATACAGTCCCACGGCTTTTAAGGCCACTGTGCAAGATAGGGAAATCTATCTGTGCTGAACGGCGAGCCTCCAAATGAGTTTTAATTCTGTGGTTGGGGTGGCAGGACTGGGAGGGGTCTCCAGCCAAAACTGGACGGGAGGAGGCATCCACCCGCCCCACCCCCAGCCTCAAGCAGCCCTTGGTGGGAGCGACTGGTGTGCCGAATGCCGTTGAGTGTCTACGTGGCTGGACTGAGTGCCGAGGTGAAACCAGAGCCAATTTGCAGAGGATGCTGAAAACTCATGATCCAATCCGGCCAACCTAATAAGAGCTTGTGTCTGATTGAAGACAGGCTCCTTACAGTATTCAAGGTATCCTGATGGCCATAAGGTTTGCTTTCCTGTTAGGATGCAGACCAAACTGCATTGACTTTAGGAACTGAGCCGAGATGAGCCATGGATAATGGACCATTCTTATCCCTCTTTGAGTGGATCTTGCACTTTAGACCTGTTACAGCGATAACAATCTCACAACATCTCCCCATTGTTCCTATGACTGCATAGACTGAGGCTGGACAGCGATTAACTCTGACATCTACCTAAACTCCACAGCTGGGCCAGTTTGATACCTCTTTAACAGCCACAGCTCCATCCTATGGAATTCTGGGACCTGTAGTTCTGTAGAGACTTGTGATTCTCAGCTGTAGTTTCTGGGCAGATATCAGAATCTCTCTGGCTGAGGATTCTAAATTCCTCACCCAGTTATGGCCATTCAGAGATCTAAATTAGGGTAGCAAGGAAACACTGACAAATAATATCTGTTCTTGATTGGGAACTGGAAATATGGTGATCAAACTATATATGACCATGGAATTCTTTATGGGCTGAAATGAGCTGATTTGTCACATCACCATTGCAACCATTTTTAGTGTGATGATCCGTGGCTAAAATAATAACAGTCTAAACTGCACACAGATAGGCTTCAGAGCCTATAGGCTGATGATGGCTTTCCTCCTTTGATTCCTAGAGAGTCAGGGCCAGCATCCTGCAGGAGGTAAATCCAGGAAATCATCAGTCAGCTGAGAAGTCCTTCACATCCTGTAGAGAGGAAGGACCGCCACTAAAATCTATCTTCACAGCTTCCTCCTTTCTGAATTCCTTAAGGAACAATGTTTTCCCCTGGGAAGAGCTAACAAGGTTATTCATTCAGAAACTCTTCCAGAACAAATGCAATCCAAGCCCTTCCTTGGCAGGGAATCAGTGTCTTTCTGCCACAGAAATACAGCAGCAAACTTTTTGAAGGAAAGAAGCTGGTGAAGGGTTAGCGTGGCTGCTTCTTCTTGCCTTACAAGTTCCAGTTGATGCACAGATGTCATCATTGGCGTTTTCCTTGCCACCCGTGTGCGGTCGTTCCTTTTTATAGGGCAATCTGCTTGCACAGCCCTTTATAAGCCGCCAGAGACCTTTGGGTAGTGTGGGCGGCATATAAAATAAATAAATAAATAAATAAATTTGCTAGGGACAAAATCAGCAGCCCACTGCCCACCTACAAATTACAACACTGCTCATCAATGTGGCTCAAGAAGCCCCTTAGCTATGGTTGGGGTCAGGAAAACTGCAGGGAGGGAGATGGGCAGAAGATGGACCCCTGTCTTTTTTTGAAGGGAGGGCTGTCCTCCATTTTAAGGACTTGCTGGCTGGGTAGGTGGGTGGGGGGAACAACCCTGCCTCTGAAGGTGCCCTCCATTGGAAAAAAAGCCTGTGTCATCCAAGGGATCTTGAGGTTCTCCATCATCCACAGTGAGGAGCATCTGGGCAGAAAAGAGGCAGGTTACCTTGACCATGTCTTCCCCCCCTTTTTTTTTGTGCTTGAAATGTGGTTGCAATTTCTGTATAAATTATTAAAAATGTTTCTCATTTCACATCTGTACATATAAATTCCCAACCCATAGGCATCCTTCAGTCTCGAGAGACTATGGTAACATGCTCTCAATGGAGGAGTATCCTCTCCAGAGTATGAAGCCTGGGTAAAGTAATATGGAGGATAGGCTGTTACCCAAGCAGCAGATCCCCCCTCTCCACATTGCTGAAATGGTCCAATGGAAAGGCAAGAGCCAATACAACTGGTTCCAGCAATGTCTCAGGAGTTGGCAGATCGACACAAACTGCCTTCAGGACTCCAGCTCCGAATTTTGCCTCTAGGTTAACACCTGAAGCCTTTTCCCTCAGTGGATAACATATAAATTAGCACGTGCAATTTTATGCAAAGGAGTATCCTTTTTTTGGTCCACTTTTATGTTGACTCCTTGTTGAGCACTTTCATGGTCAACTCCACAGTGATGTTGAGGTGGCCACCTAGAGGGAACAGGTGGGGTTGTTCTCTCCCAAAGCAACCTGCTTTCGGTTCTTCTCCTCACTTCCAAAATGTTTGGGAAAGCTGTTCCTTGAGGTAGAAGTGGTTGACATCAACAGAAAAGGCAAAATAGCCACCTCAAAGGTGTTGCATGTAATGAGAGTCATGGCAAACAGTCCTTCATCCAAGCGAAGCACCAGATCCTGATTTTCAAAGCAGGGCCACGTGTTTGTGTGTGTGTGTGTGTGTGTGTGTGTGTGTGTGTGTGTGTGTGTGTGTGTGTTTGGCATGTACATATTATGGCTTTTAAAGTACCCACTTAAAAGATTTTCAACCTACACTTAGCGGTGTGGGGAGTGTGAAGAGGTCTACAGGCTCTTCATGGTACGTGGAGACTCTTTCCTCCTTTAGCAGAGAAATGGTCAACAAACTCAGAGACCTGGCCTCTGGCGAGATATTTCCTCTGCTTAGAGGGAGGCGAGAGGATGACTCTGTTTATGCCTGTTTGTTTGGTCACCGGTGTCCAGGGTACGTCAGCTCAGCTCCCATTGCGCTGGACTGAGAAAAAAAAAGAAAAGAAAGACATGTACACAGACGAAAGCAAAGTTACAACATTTACACGTATGGTTGGGTTCCGGCCCCCTCTTCATCTTTTGGAAGATAACCAGGTGTTTGGAGGTTCGACCTGAGCCAAGAGCAATCAGCCTGTGTACAGAAACAAATCTCCAGAGCCATTTGGAAACATTGCAGTTACATAATAGGCCGTAAAACGGTGCTGATCTATATTGCAAATTGGAGATGCTTTTAAAAGCAAGTCCCTTTCCATCCCTTTTGCATGCAACTTCACTAATGCGCAGAACTGAGCAACGAGCAATTGTGTGCAAATATCAGCAGTGAAAGGAGGAGGTAGGACGAAAGCGCCCATTGTCAGGAGAACAGCTGTTTACAGAGCTGCGGTATCCATGCAGGATCACGTTCCAAGCCTCCATCCTCGAAGATGCTGAAAAACATGGGTATATAAACACAATATATGGCAGAGTCTCTTATATCCTCCAGTAGCCAATTCTGGTAATACATCTTGGAAACGTATATTTCTGGTTTTTAAATTTTAATATTTATTTATTTATTTAATTTATATGCCGCCCACACTACCCAAAGGTCTCTGGGTGGCTTACAGCAATTTAACTACAGTAAAAAAGATAAAACAATTAAAATATATACTCTAAAAGTTGCCATCAGGACCCACAGTTGATATTTCAATTAAAAGCCTTCTGGAACAGGAAGGTTTTGACCTGGTGCCGAAATGTCATCAGCATCGGCGGCAGATGAATTTCAGTTGGGAGGGCGTTCCATAGTCTAGGGGCAGCTGCCGAGAAGGCCCTTTGTCTACAAGCCATCCCTCTTACCTCTTTGAGGGATGGCTCTTTCAAAAGGGCCCCCTGGCTAGATCTTAACTGCCGGGTAGGTTCATATGGAAGGAGGCGGTCCTTCAAGTATCCAGGGCCCAAGCCGTTTAGGGCTTTATACATCAAAACAAGCCCCTTGAATTGGGCCGAGGCAGCAACTGGTAGCCAATGTAATTTAAACAAAATCTGCTTGAAATGTTCCCTGGCGGCCCCACCACTCACCAGCCACGCAGCTCGATTCTGGACCAGTTGCAGTCGCCGGACCGTCTTCAAAGGCAGCCCTACGTAGAGCGCATTGCAGTAATCTATACGAGATATTACCAGTGCATGTGTAACTGTCATGAGACTCAGCTTGTCCAGGTAGGGCTGTAGCTGGTATAATTTCTGCAGCTGAAGGAAGGTACTCCTGGCCACTGAGCCCACCTGGGCTTCCAGAGTTAGACTGGGGTCTAGTAGCACCCCCAGACAGTG